CAAAAGTCTCAGACTTGTGGATTTTCTCACTTAAATATTGTTGGTAGGTGCCATCAACTCAATACTGACTCATAGTGACCCAATGCACAACAGAACGAAACACTACCTCATCCTGCGCCAACCTCACAATTGTTGCTACATTTGAGCCCATTGCTTCTGCCACTATGCCAATCCATCTCATTGGAGATCTTCCTCTTTTTCTGACCATCCACTTTGCCAAACATGATGTCTTTCTCCAGCAACTAGTTCCTTCTGACAATTTTTCTGAAGTATAAGAGATAAAGTCTGGTCATCCTGGCTTCCAAGGAGCACTCTGGTTGTACTTATTCCAACACAGATTTGTTTGTTCTTTTGGCACTTTTAATATCCATGGTGCTTTTAATATTCTCCTCCAACACCATAACTCAAATGTATCAATTTTCTAAGATGCTTCTTATTCATTGTCCAACTTGCATATGCATATGAGGGTATTGAAAATACCATGTCTTGGGACAGGCATGAAATCTTATTCCTCAAACTAACATCTTTGCTCTTGAACACTTTAAAGTGGTCTTCTGCAACAGATTTGCTTAATGCAATACATTGTTTAATTCTTGACTGCTGATTCCATGAGTGTTGATGGTTGATCTGAGCAAAATGAAGTCTTTGACAATCTTTCCTCCATCTATATGGATGTTGCTTATTGGTCCCGTGGTGAAGATTTTTGTTTTCTTTACATTGAGGGGCAACTCATACCAAAGGCTGTGGTCTTTGGTTTTCATCAGTAAGTATTTTAAGTCCTCTTTGCTTCTAGAAAGCAAGGCTGTGTCATCTGCATATCACAGGTTGTTAATGAGTCTTTCTCCAATCCTGTTGCCACATTTTTCTTCATATAATCCAGTTTCTCATATTATATGCTCAGCATACAGATTGAATAAATGTGGTGAAAAAATACAACCCTAGTACACACTTTTCCTAATTTTAAACCATTTGGTGTGCCCTTTTTCTGTTCAAACAACTGTCTCTTGGTCTATGTACAGGTTCCTTATGAGTACAAGTTTTGGAATACTCATTCTCCTCAAAGTTGTCCACAGCTTGTCATGGTCTACACAGTCGATAGCCTTTGTGTAGTCAATAAAGCACAGGGAAACATCTTTCTGGAATTCTCTTTTTTCAGCCAAGATCCATCTGATGTTAGCAGTGATATTCCTCATTCCATGTCCTCTTCTAAATCCGGCTTGAACCTCGGGAAATTCTCTGTCAATTGTATGATTGCAACCATATTTGCATTATCTTTAGCAGAAATTCTCCTGCAGGCAATATTAATAATATTGTCCAATGATTTCCGCATTCCGCTGGATCACCTTTCATTGGAATGGGCACAAATACGGATTTCTTCCAGTCAGTTGGCCAGGTATTTGTCTTCCAAATTTCTTGGCACAAATGAGCAAGTGCTTCCAGTGCTGCATTAGTTTGTTGAAAGATTTTAATTTGTATTCCAACAATTCCCAGTGTCTTGTTCTTTTCCAATGTCTTCAGTGCACTTTGGACTTCTTCCTTCAGTATCACTGGCTTTTGAGCATATGCTACCTTTTGAAATGGTTAAACATCGACCACTTCTTTTTGTGTATTCCTTTCATCTTCTTTTAATGTTTTTTGTGTCATTCAGTATTTTGCCCATTGTTGTTTGCCATTGAGTCAGTTTCAACCCATAGCAAACCAGTGTAGGGTTTCCAAGCAGTGAGAGGAGAGCTTGAACCGCTCGCTGGCCTTGTGATTCAAACCAACCTTGCAGGCCAGTGCATTAACCCACAGTGCCAAATTGTAACTTGAGCCTTGAATTTTTTTCTTCAGTTCCCTCAGCTTGAGAAATGCTGAGCGTGTTCTTTCTTCCCTTTTGGTTTTCTATTTCCAGGTCTTTGAACATTTTGTTATAATATTTGACCTTGTTTTCTCACATTGCCTTTTGAAATGTTCTATTCAGCTCTTTTACCTCCTCATTTCTTCCATTTGCTTTAGCATCTCTACGTTAGAGAGCAAGCTTCAGCGTCTCTTTCTGACATTCATTTTGGTCTTTTTCTTCTTTCTTGTCTTCTTAATGACCTTTTGCTTTCTTCCTGTATGATGTTTTTGATGTCATCACACAACTTTTCTGATCTTCAGTCTTTAGTGTCTAATGCATCAAATCATCTGTTCTTGAGATGGTCTCTAAATTCAGGTTGGATATGCTCAAGGTTATATGTTGGCTCTTGTGTACTTGTTTTAATTTTCCTCAGCTTTAGCCTGAACTTTCATATGAGCAATTGATGGTCTCTTCCACGGTCTACCCCAGCCTTGTTTTGACTGATGATACAGAGCTTTCCCACTATGTCTTTCTACAGATGTAGTCCATTTGATTTCTGTGTATTCCATCTCATGAGGTCCATGTGTATAATCGTCTTTTGTTGTTGTTAAGTGCCGTCGAGTCGGTTCCGACCCATAGCGACCCTTCAGGGTTTCCGAGTCTGTAAATCTTTATGGGAGCAGAGCGCCTCATCTTTCTCCCGTGGAGCGGCTGGTAGTTTTGAACTGCTGGCCTTAAGGTTCACAGCCCAATTCGTAACCACTACGCTACCAGAGTTGTTTTAAAAAGGTATTTGCAATGAAGATGTCATTGATCTTGCAAAATTCTATCATGTGATAGCCATCATTCTTTCTATCACCAAGGCCATATTTTCCAACTACTGATTCTTCCTCTGTCTCCAATCTTTGCATTCCAGTTGCCAGTTATTATCGATACATCTTCATTGTATGTTTGATCAATTTCAGATTGTAGAAGTTAGTAGAATTCTTCAATTTCATCATCCCTGGCATTAGTGGTTGGTGAGAAAAATTTGAGTAATAATTGTATTAATTGGTCTTTCTTGTAGGTGTATGGATATTATCCCATCACAGACTGTTGTACTTCAGGACAAATCTTGATATGCTCTTTCTGATGATAAATGTGGTGCATTCCTCTTCAATTTGTCATTCCTGGCATAGTAAACCATGTGGTTGTCAGATTCAAAATGGCCAGTTCAAGTTTATTTCAACTCACTAATGCCTGGGATATTGATGTTTATGCGTATGTTTCATTTATGACAATGTCCTATTTTCCTAGATTCATGCTTCATACATTCCATGTTCTGATTAATAGATGTTTACAGCTGTTTATTTTCATTTTGAGTTGTACCCTATCAGCAAATGAAGATCCTGAAGGCTTTACTCCATTTGTGTCATCATGGTCAACTTTACGTTGAGGAGGCAGCTCTTCCCCAGTCATATTTTAAGTGACTTCCAACCTGAGGGGCTCATCTTTTGGTACTATATCTGATAGTGTTCTGGTGCTCTTCTTCATGTTTCAATATTCAATATTCTGGTGCTGACAGTGTTCTACTTGGATTCATAAAGTTTTCAGTGACTAAATATTTGCAAGTAGTTTGTCTCTCTTTCTTCCTAGTCTGTCTTGTCTGCAAACTCTGCTGAAACCTTTCCATCGTGGGTGACCCTGATGGTATTTAAAAGACCCATGGTATAGTTTTCAGAATCACAGCAACACAGAAGCCACCACAGTACACACAAACTGACAGATGATTAGTGGCCTTAAATGAGGAAACCCTATGGGGTAGTTCTACTCTTCATATGGGATTACTATGAGTCCAGGTCGATTGGATAGCACCTAACAATAGACCTCTACTACCAGCACCCAACTCTATCGTCTAGCTCCCATTCCTCTCCCCAGAGACAATCAAGTATTAGCTATTAATCCCTCTGTCAATGAAGATTTAGGATCGCATTATGGCCTTACTGAAATCTCTAAGAATTTGTGACCATGACAAGCAAAACATCTGACACCAGTTAGCAAAACTTTTCTGACGGATAGAAATATTATTTTGGAGGGCCTGGATTCCAAACCACGTAAAACTCTTTCTCCTTACCCCAGAGCTCTCTTATCATGAGAGATTCGGTAACCTTAGGAATGAATGATAAATTTTGTGACAATTAAGTTTGTTCAAGGAAGCTCCTTGAGAACAAGAGGGTAACTGTGTGTGTGTGTCTATGTGTGTCTTGTGTGCGGCGCGCGCATGTGTTTACATAGGTGAGAAGAAGCAAGCATAACTGGTTCTGAGAGACCCTCACCCTATTTCCTTAGCCCCTTGATCCCCGTCGTCGCGTCCCCGTGGCGACGCGCGAAGGGACGCGCCGCGCTCAGGAGGCGGTGCGGCACTGAGAGGTGTGACTGTGAGCTTCCCGCGCGCGCCCGTCCCCACCTCCGCACCCCGCGCCCGCCCGCCCGCACAGCGTGACTGGCCGCGGTTGCAGACCCACCCAGCACCAAGAAGCGCGGAGGGCGCGGCACTGAAGCGAGAAGCGGGCGGGCTGCTGCCTCGGGCCCGCAGCGCTGTCCGCCCTCCTCCCCTCCCTTAGCCCCTCCCTTGGCGTCCGCGCTGCCTGGGAGCCGAGGAAGCAGCGGCGCCGCTGCTGGGAACCCGCAGCTCGGCGCGGGGACCTGCACCGAGGCGGGGGCGGCGGGAGCGCGGAGACTACAGGCAAAGAGGACCCTTTTTTTTTTTTCGAGAAAGGGAAAGCTGAGCGTGAGTGAGCGTGGAAAGGAGGACTGAACGCGTGCTAACTGTGGACCCCGCCAGCCCAGCCCAGGACGCCGCAGCCCGGTAGCCCCCCTGCCTTGTGCCCCAAAGCACGCGCCAGCATGGCCATGAACAGCAACGATGCCAAGGAGTATCTAACGCGAAGGGAAATCCCTCAGCTTTTCGAGGTAGGGGGCTAAGGGCTGGGACAGGGTCGGAGACGGTCCAAAGAGTCCAGGGAGGGCGTCTCTGGGATTCGGGATGCAGAGCCGCGCCCCATCTCACCTTCCCCACGCGGGGCATGGAAGTGAAGGAGCTTGCAGAAGCTCACGCGCCTCTCGCTCGGAGTGACCACCTTTCCCGCGGGTTGCCTGGGTCCTTGCCGGAGGGCTTGGCTCTCAAGCCCGCATCTCTCATATTAAGTTTCAGTGTTTGAGACAGGTTCTGAAAGGGTGCCCCCAGCACGTCCCTCGAATGTGGACACCGAGGGTAGGTTGGAGGCAGCGGCCCGGCCGTACTCCCTGGGGGCGAGGGCCAGGTCAGGTGAGTATGTTGGCCCCCGGCAGCGAACTAGGACGAGAAACTGAGGGGTATAGAGCCCTGATCTCTCCACCCGTTGCTGCTTGGGACGCTCGCGGTGAAGCGAGAAGTGTAGACAAAAGTAGTCCTCCCCAAGGATAGCATGGTGGAAGGAGATGGAGATGCAAAAGACAAATCCTAGCCCATCAAGTGCAGTGTTACCTCCGGGGTGGCAGACACCCAGTTCCTCCCTGTGCTTTAGGTGAATGAACTTCCGAGCACGTTTTCCCGTTGCCTCGGAGGGGTTAGTCTCATCATTACCTCCCTGGCGCATATTTAGCTTACCATTTCCAACCCGCTTAGAGATAAAGAGGTCGGGGAGGGCAACGGTAGGCATAACTCCTGTTGCTCTGTCTTCAGACCGCATCGCGGCATCCTCTGTGCTCGGGACCCCAGAACTGGGTAAAAGATGTAGGATTGGGGGCTTCTCTTTGAGAATGAAAGAAATGAGGCTTAAGAAATGAGCTAAAGAAACCTTGGGTTAGTTCTTAAATCATAGCCTCAATCGCGGATCGTTTTGCTTCCTTTTCTCCTCTCCATATTTGAATTTCAAAACATTCCTGAAGCCTATGTGCTTTTCCTTGGTGTAAAAAAAAAAAGGAAGCGAGCCAAGCTTCACTGAGAGAGCCTAAAAGGGAAAACCCATTCACTGCAAACTTGGCCCCACATTTCTGAAAGATATTGGCTGATGTACTAAAGATCATGAGTTGTTCTTTTGATGTTTTGGGGCTTGTTTGTTTTTAAAAGAAATTTAAAACACCACTTGGAAACATAATTTTGCCCCAGTTTCCCAAAAGTCCTTAAAGTGGGTCACCATAATTACAGATCTTCATTTTCTCTCACCTGTGTAAGTTTTTAGGTCCATCTGAGGCAAGATTTTCAGGTAAACCACCCCTGAGCTCAAGTCTGGTATGTGAAATCTAAATTGAGCAAGCGATTAAGTATGCATGAAAATACTCAGTGTTGGGAAAGGACAGGTCTTGGGAGTGTGCAGGATTCTATTGAGTTTTTTAATATATATATAATTTTTTTTCAAACTGAAGGTTTTGGTCACAGAGGTCATTTCATTCAAGAGAGTCACCTGATTGCACAGTGTTGCTAAAAAATACTGTCTTTTCTTTATAAATATGGGTACTGTTTTACTTCCTTGGTGGATGAGAACTACAGAGAATGTTTGATAGCTTATTCATGAAAATCTACACTGCTTATGCAAATAATTGATGGCAGCAAGTTTTTGTTGACTTTTCTGCATATGAATGGTGTGCTTTAAAATAATATGCACCCATAAAGGAAGCCCACATGCTTAGGCAAAATTCTGAATATTCAATCCTGGACAATGGGAAATTGTAAGGGTGGTGGTCTCCAAAGGCTCAGTCCTTCCAGTAAGATGCAAAATCAAATGTTTATGGTGTCCAGACTGGATTTTTTTCTTTCAAAACTGTAATATTCTCAGCATACAAAGTTTAACAATCAAGTAACTATCAAACCGAGACCATTGGCCCTTCAGCTATGGACATTAGACACCAGGACAGATACTGGTATGGCACTGTACGGTAAGTGCCTACTTAACGCAGGGTTGGTGGTTCAAACCCATCAGCCGCTCCTTGGAAATCCTATACAGTTGGAATTCACTCCTGAGCACCTAACAGCAACAACAAATCAAGTACATCTTCATGTTGCCAAAAAACTAAATAAACTTAGTGGACTTTTTCTGATTTTTTTCCTGATTTGAGACATCCCATAGATTGTATCCTGGTATGGTGCTATAGGTTAATGTGCTGGACTGCAAGGTTGATTCAAACTGCAAGGTTGGTGGTTTAAACTCACCAGCCACTCCTAGGAAACCCTATATAGGCTGACTATGAGTCAAAACCGACTTGATGACACTTACCAACAACAACAACATAGATGGTGTAGAGAGTCCTATTGTGGTGCTGTGGGTTAATGTGCTCGAGTGCAAAGTCAGTTTGAACCACAAGTTTAGTGGTTCAAACTTACCAGCCACTCCTCAGAAACCCTATACAGCGCCACTGTGGGTCAGAATAGATACGATAGCACTTAATAACAATGATAGATGGTATGGTGCTATAAGATAAGCACTGGACTGCAAGGTCCATTCAAACTCATCAGCAGCTCCTTGGAAACCCTACATGAGTCAGAACCGACTGCGTGGCACTGAATGACAACACCAACAATAGACTAAATAGTTTATCTCTGGTAGCTTGGTTCAAGTTTGAAATAACTATTTTTAGGCTACATGTTAAAAAATAAAACAAAACACTTTCTCCTAATTTTGTTGTATGTTCTTAATTGTAGCTAACTGTCTGCACTATCTATTGCTCTTGCACTTCTTTACATTACAGCATAAATTTGGCAATTATTTGAATATTGTGGAAATCCAAATTCGATTATTTATTTTTAAATACTTTTTATTGGAAATTGAGTGAAGGTTTATACACAAGATCATCAGTTGTATATTCAACAAATGGTACACTTTGTTTCATCTCAGTGATTGCAATCCCCTCCCTACAACAACAACCTCCTGCTTCCTCCCTGTGCTTCGTATTTCCATTCCACTTTCTCAATTTTTAACTTAAGACAATGTTGTCCTTTTGATTTTGAATGATTGACCATACCTTACTAGTGTTGCTATCCCCCCTGTATTCTTGTCTACTGCTTGAGTGAAAACTGCGCCATGAGGTTGAGTTCCTTTCCAGACCATAGTCTCAGGTTCCTCCAATCTTTTTCTGATCACTACACCTGGTCTATTTTAAAAAATGCTTCACATTTTCTCCCACTCTATCCGGGACCCTCCAATGTGATCCCTTTCAGAGAATTTAGTAGTGGTACCATGTAGTTCGTCTGGTCTCAGAGTCATCCTAGACACAACTCACCAAAGTAGGATGCAGAACATTGTCATTGTGGGTTATGTTTTGCCAGTTGATCATGGTGTCCCCTGAGACTGTGGTCTTGTGCCCTCCCGCCCAGCAATTTCATTGTCATAAGATGTGTGAAAATATCTTAAGAAGTTTTCATCATTTTTCCTGCTGTATGTACCCACAGTGCCCTGGTGTGGCTCTGTGGAATAAAGTACTGGGCCACCAGGTCAGTTTGAACAACAAGGTCAGTGGTTCGAGTTTATCAGCTACTCCTGGAAACCCTATACAGGATCGTTATGCGTCAAAACCGACTCAACACTTTACAACAACAACATACTCTGCTACATTGATAGTTGTGTTTGAAAGAAAAATACCCATGTACAAACACCCTCTTTCAGACTCAGTCCCATTATTTCTCCTTTATCCATATATCTCAATCCTTGTATCTACACATAGAACACTGTTGTTCTAAGGTTGTATATATATCACTATTTACCTTTTCCCTTTTAGCCCTTGCATACCTCCCTGTGTCTTCACCTATCTTCATCATTCTGCCAACCTCCCTTTTCTTGTATATTTATCTTCCCCTTATTGTATATTGCCTTCCCCATCACCAGAGCTAACATGTGTCTACCCTATAGCCAGTGAATTACTGTCCCTTCGTTTCCACCCCTGGTAACTATCGAAGAATGTTTCTTTTAGTATGAAAACCCTTTCTTAAGTTTTTACAATAATGGTCTCATACAGTATCTGTCCTTTTGTGAATAACTAATTTCACTAGGCATAATATCCTGCAGGCTCATCCATATTATGAGGTGCTTAGCCGACTTAACGATATACTCTTCAAGCAAATTTGATAATTTATGACCTCAAAAGGCTAACTCAAGAAACTGAGAAATAAAGTCAGCTAGTTCTTTTTCCATTCCTGATAGTGGCTTTCTGTTAGAGAAAGGAATTTAAATGAAGGAGTGGAACTCATCCCCCTCCTTTTTAAACCCGTGTTCTTTGGGCATCCATTTTGTTTTAGAAGACAGGAAGTATATACTTTCCAGTCAACAAGTATTCACTGGATATTTTCACTATTTGTGTGGCGCTGTAGCATATGCGTTTGAAATGCGAAGTTAGCAGTTCAAACTCACCAGCCACTCCTTGGAAACCTTATAGAGGATCACTATGAGTCATAACAGACTCCATGGCAATTAACAACAGTAGCAACAACAAGGGGGCCCAAATGGTTTGCACTCAACTACAGATTTAAATGAGGAGCTCTAGTAGCCAAGTGGTTACGAATCGGGTTGCGAACCGCAAGGTCAGCAGTTCGAAACTACCAGCTGTTTCATGGGAGAAAGATGAGGCTTTCTGCTCCCATAAAGATTTACAGCCTCGGAAACCCGGTACAGGGTCTCTATGAGTCGGAACTGACTTCACGGCACATAACCACGAACCACCACTGATTTAAATGTTAGCTGTTTGAACCCATTCTGTGGTACTGTTGAAGAAAGGGTTGGTGATCTGCTTCCATATCCGCTTATAACCAAGAAAACCCTATGGAATGCAGTTCTACTCTGTAATTCAAAATTGACTCATGGCAGTAGGTTAAGCGTTTTAGTGGTTCACTATTGCAGGCAATGTTATTGTGTGATGTTGAGGCAATTCGGATGCACAGAGACTCTATAACATGCTAGACCTGCCCCATAGGTAGGGTTTCTTATGCAGTAAC